CACGCGTATTCGTTTTAAACATATGCGCCAGCTTCACGGATTGAGGGCAGGTTGTTTTCAAAGTGTGGTTTTCGCCTCAGCGCATCGCAGATGCGTCTTAGAAGGTTGCAAGAACTTCAAATATTGACGGTTTGTTTTGAACATGTGGCTCTCGCCTTGGCGCCGCGCACGCTCGTCTCAGAACGTTGCGATCCTTTCACGGGTGCCGGATGCCCATGGTTAACGCATTGGATTGGTCTTCCAGAACGACTCGCGATTGTAGGGCGCAACAGTTTCGTTGATTTGCGGTGTTGGAGTCCAAGAGATGGTGCTACAACAACCACGTTGATTAACGCCGTTGACGTTCCGAGAATGGTATTTTGGCACGCTTCAGAATCTTCAAAAGGTTGTCTCCCAACGGAGCACGCCTTTCAGTTGAAAATGAATTTTGGAGGGACCTACCAGAAGGGAGTTTTGGGGGGAATGTATTCCAACATCGTTGATGCCTCTTGGATTTGCACTTGTCCTTCTCCCTCTTCTTCCTTCTCTCCCTCCCCGGCCCTCGGTGTCCTTCCCCCCCCCCCCTCCTGCTCCTCCCCCCCCCTCCCCACCCTTTCCGCGCGCGCCTGCTGGTCATAAGCGGCCGGGCCCCCGCTCGCGAGCGTGACCCGTGCACGGGGCGGCAGGGTGAGCTCCCCGGCGGCGCCCGGCGCCCTTCAAGGCGCGCGCAGGTGAAAGGGCCCCCTCCGGCATTCGGCACGGGGCAGCGTAGGTCGGGCGCCTCTCCCCCGCCAGGCCGAGAGGGTACGCCTGGTTCATTTCTAATTCATTCAAAGTTTTTCTTGGTTTTAGGGGGCCACGATCCGTTCATTTCTAATTGATCTATCCTGGGCCTCTTCCTCGCCACTAGGGGGCCAGGAGCAAGTAGAAACGAGCACAATTAGAAATGAGCACGACTAGAAATGAACGACGTGTACGTGTTCGGAAAAAAAAACAAGTGATCGAACGCGCGCCGAACATTGAGCGCCAGGAGCTCCTGAAGCGTCAGGAGCGTCGCGAAGCTCCTGGAGCCGGGAGCGTCAGGAGCGTCGGGAGCGTCGGAAGGATCAAAGACGTCAAAAGCGTCAGAGGGTTGGCGGCACCGCCTGCCCCATCAATCCAGAAGTGCCGGTGCTGGGATTGATGGGTAGAGTTGAAATGCCGAATTGATACAGATGTCAGATAGATCGTGAGCAATCGCAATCCCAAAGTTGCACCAACCCGCAGCCCTATATGTAACCATACTAGTATTTTTGAAGTTCGCCATTCGAGCCCTTGGTATCCTCGAGGATGTTTTCCAACCGACGTCTTGCAATGTAGTGCTGGAGTGTAGCGTGGGAGGGGGGGTTGACGCGGAGGTGGCGGACTGGGTCGGCGGGGGGAGACACGGGGGGGGGGAAGACCACTTCTCTCCTGCCCCTTCTTTCTTTACCCTTCTCGCCTTCCTCACCCCATGCACCGCGGATGCAATCTTGCTTTGTGGGTGGCGGCTCTTGCCCAGAATCCAGCTACTCTTTCTCCTCGCCCTTGCCTTCTCTCTTCTCGTTCTCAGTGCCGGCTGAAGATTGATTGAAATTCGACCCTTGGCGGCCGCAAAGCGGTCTGGGACACGGAGCGACCGAGGAGCGAACCCGTTGGAGCAATGGCGTGCCTAGCTCTGGCGCTCCTGCTGCTGCTGCCCGCCCGCGCGCTCGCGGACGAGGGCTGTGTCGCCGATGGCACGTGCCAGGCCGACGATGCCGAGACCGCTGCGCTGCTGCAGGCCAGGGTGACGGGGCACAGCGAGGAAATGAGCGCGCCGCCCCCCATGCCGTTCCAAGGTGCGCCGCAACCCCTGACCCCATCCCCGAGCAGTGGAAAGGGCCCGAAGGGTGGAAAGGGTCGCGGGCGTTGACAGTCCGAGGTTCGGGACGATCGACATGGGTACTGAAAGAATGGGCGCTAGCAGCTCTTTTTCATTTTGAACAGGATTCGCTGTTCGCGCCGCCACGGACATTGTCCGCGTCGTGCTCGTCGTCGTCGCCGTCGTCGTCGTCTCGCGGGCTCCCCTCTGCCGAGCGAGGAGTGCCGAGCGTGCGCGGCGGCGGCGATGATGAAACATAGATTGCCGACGGCTCGTTTGGCAGTCCGTCTGCCGCCAGCTCGCTTGATTCGTGGCTTCTCAAGGTTGTCTCGGGACGAAGTGATTTGTCTCAGCCGATCCGAGCAGCGAACTCAGCTCGGGTGCCACTTGGCGCGAGACTCAGCTCGGCCAAACCAAGCTCGGCGACTCTCTCATGGGCGCCCAAAGAGCTATCATAGTTTTCTTTTTTCACACCTCTCGAACACGAGGCCCTTGACGCAATACCTGTTGACGCGGCCATCTCTGAGCCTCGCCGCGTCGCGCACATCTACCTTGAGCTGCGCCCGCCCTTCCGACCCATGGAAAGTTTCCAGGCCGCCGTCGTCGTGCACGTTGGCGCCTGCATGGCCATGGTGAGTGCAGACTCCGAAACAATGGCGCCCGTCGTTCAAGAGTCCATTGCCGATCGGCTGTTGGTTCCACGCTATGAAAGGCTTGCACAAGCTCTCCAACCTAGTGTTACGATACCCGATCGCCTGGGCAACCAAGCCCGCCATCGTAATGCCAACGATTGCCTCCACATTGCATCGCCCTGATGCAAAGAGGGATTCGTGCCCATGCTGTGCCGTCGCTGAGCTGATGCCCCGCGGGAGGGTTCAGCTTGTCCGTCTTGATGATGGCACGCCATATGTCGCTTGGGAACGCGCGCAAGGCTTTGTACACCAAAGTCAAGTCAGGTTCACAATCGCATCCGAGAGCACGCCAACGGCAGTTCTCGTCCACGATGTCCGTGATAAGGTCCTTGCGCCAAGAGCAAGTGCCACGTACATTTGGTTCTGCTGGTGCTGCGCCTGGTGCTGCGTCTGTTGCTGCGCCTGCGCCTGGTGCTGCGTCTGCTAAGCTGCGCCTGTTGCTGCATCTGGTGCTGCGTCTGCTGGTGCTGCGCCTGGTGCAGCGTCAGCTGGTGCTGCGCCTGGTGCAGCTGCTGCTGCGTCTGCTGGTGCTGCTGCGTCTGCTGGTGCTGCGCCTGCTTGTGCTGCGCCTGCTGGTGCTGCGCCTGCTGGTGCTGCGTCTGCTGGTGCTGCGCCTGCTTGTGCTGCGTCTGCTGGTGCTGCGTCTGCTGGTGCTGCGCCTGCTTGTGCTGCGTCTGCCAGTGCACGCGGCTCCTCCTCTGGCTCGACCGCGGGCCGTGCCCAGCGTGCCATGGTCCCACTTGTTGGTGGCACACAGTACCTGAATTACACGCGCGTAGAGCGCTGCGAAACGATTCCAGCCAAAATGGTTGGTGGAAGCGACGACGGCGATGGCGACGACGACGACGCTCCCGCAGGAGTCCCACACGAACGCATGGCAGAGTAAATCATGTTGAGTACATCGCAGTACATCGTAGTATATCAAGTTGACTCATGGGCCATCGGATTCTTACCTTTTTATATATGATGACAAAAACACGGCGGTAGAACGTATTGAACCTATAAATATATTGGTGTGTATATATATAGAGAGATATAGATGATGTCAGTATAAACTTACTAATCTGGATGGCCATACCTGGTATTACTTTGGTTGTTGCATGTTTTTTTGATTATCGCCTGTTCGGGCTTCGACCGCCCAGGACGGCCGAAGAGGCCCCCAGGATCGTACCACGGTGGCCCCAGAATGTACGTTGACCCGGGCTAGCGCGCAGGATTCTGCAGGATCCCGCAGGATCTTGCCCAATTGTGCAGGGTCCTGCAAATCCTGACCGACCCATATTTGCACTGAGCTGGGCAGTGCGTCCCTGACTCACCCCCAGTTCCACAGGGGACCCCAGGCCCCGAGGCTTCCGTCCCCGTCCACACCATTCAAACACTCTCGGGTCGCGCAACAAAAACGCGACGTATGGCTTTTCGTTATGTTTGGCCTCTGGGGGCCCTCGCCGGGCCTCGGGCCCGTCAAAGATCGGGAGACTCTTCATGGGGGGGGATCCCATGGGGGGATAGGATCCCAGGGGGGGGATCCCATAGGATCCCCTGGGGATCCGATGGGGGCAGGAGGGGATCCCATGGGGGGATCCCCTCCTGCCCCCCCATGGGATCCCCCCCCATGGAGATTCTCCCGAAAAGAACGACTCAGGCTGAAAAGCTGGTCCTGGGGAGTGGGGGTCGACGTAATGACAAAATCCTGACGTCGGGTGTCCGGGAGGGGGACCCCCCGTCCACACCACGGCGCCGCCTGCCCACGGGCGGCGTGCGCGCCCCTCGCTGGCTCGCCACGGCCCTCGTCGGGCGGCCCTCTCGCTCTTATGTTCCGGCTAGACGTAAGAGTGACCATTCGCCAGAGTGACCTTTTTGGTGATCCCCAAACGTGGTGGTGAGAACACCCGGTGGTGAGTTTTGGGCGATTTGGGTAATGGTTTTCGAGCGCTGGCTGGCCCAGGAAACGCAAAACCTCGTGGCGACCGCGTGTCCCCAAACCCGGTGGTGACCCAGAATTATTTTTTGGGGGAATCGGGGTCACCACCGGGTGTCTCACCACCTGGTTTGGAGACCACCAACCTTTGGTGCGTTCTCCTCGGGGTCCCCCCGATCGGTGTGCGCGATGCAATAGCGGCTGATTGCACAATTGGATTTGGCCACTTTGCGCCCCCTTCGTCCGCGCACCAGAGGTCACCCTTGCCTAATTATGGTCACTCTTGCGTGCAGCCGGATGTGCAGCCAGGGAGGACGAGGAGAGGGAGGAGAGGGAGGGAGGAACGAGCAGGAAGGACCCGGCAGACGGAGGAGGCGGGTGCGCAGCGGAGGGGTGGGGGAGCCACTCTCCCTCCGCGCGGCTCGGCAGCGGACGCAAGGCAGTGCGCCGCGCGGGGGGGGGGGGGGGGGCAAGCGCGCGGGTCGCGTCACCCGCCGCGGGGGCGGGGCGAGGCGCCCGGGGGCCCCCGATGGCGCCCCTGCAGCGCAGGCCGCGGCCCGCGTCGCCGACGCTGCTGGCGCAGCGGGCCGCGTACCAGGCGCAGCTGGGCCGGAGCGGAGGCCACCCACCGCGGCGCCCCTTTCGGCCACCACGCGCGGGAGGGAGATTTCGCCGGAGGGACCTCTGGTGAGGGCACTTTGGGGCCCCCAGACAGTGGAGCGCGACGCAATAGCAGCGGCTTGCGCGCGCTCGGGCTTTGCCCCCGCGACACCCGAAGGCCGCGTACCCAAGGCCACTCTTGTATGGGGTCACTGTCTCGTGTGTATCCGACCGTTGCAGTGGTCGTCGCGGCGAGCCGACGCACTTGCCGCCATCGCCGCGCCGCGTCGGTCGCCGCTGGGCGCGTCGGTCGCCGCTGGGCGCTGGGCGCTGGGCGCCGTCGCCGCAGGGCGCCGTCGCCTCCTGGCGCCGTCGCCACCACACCGCAGCTGGGGAGATGGGACCAATTCGGGGGATGGAGGGCTACGTGGGGGCTGGAAGATTTGGGGGAGAGGGGAGGGGCTCGGTTATGGGGGGACGGGCGCAGGGGACGGGTTCGGGTGGAGGGGATGGAGGGATGGATGGAAGGGGAGGCGGGAGAGGGTTGGGAGGGAAGGGGGAGGGAGGCGTCAGGATAGGGGGCGCAACCTGCACGAGGCACGTGGGGCGCGCGTGCGCGCGACCACCCCTCTTCCAGACTGCGCTCGCCGCTCACAGCGCCCGTCGCCGGACCGTTGCGGTGCCACCGGGCCCCCAAAGTTCTTCCCGAGCCTGCTCGGCGCCCAAGGCCTGTTGGCGCCCGCGGAGGGAGAAGCGGCGAACGGGCGCAGCTTCGACCGGGCCTCGTGGGGATATGCTCGGCCTCCGAGTGGGCTCGCCCTGCAGTCCGCTCGACGTTCTGTCCGCTCGGCGGTCGTACGGGCTCCGAACGCCGAGTGGGTTCAGATCAGGTGTTGCTGGAGGTGCCCCTGGCCAAAGGTGCCCCCAGGACTTCGAGGGAGGCCCCTGCGGCTTCCAGAGCGCCCCCGACGAGGCCCAGAGGGCAGCAGGGGCTCCGAGATGGAGCCAAGGTGCGGGCATTTTGGGCCAGGGGCACCTTCAGGTAGAAGCACCCGGTCAGAAGGGAGCCCTGGCGCCTCGTCGACGACAGGTCCGGGCCCCCCCCCTCGAGCATGCCCATCCGCTGCGGCGCCCCTCACGCCCACTCCCCACGAGGCGAGCCCTCCGTCCTCGGCACGGCCCAGTCGGACCTTGAGTTAGGTCGGGCCTGTCCCTCTACAGGAGGATTGCTTTGATCATTTTTGAATATGTTAGGGTATTTGTGTTGGACTATTTTTTTTGTCGTCCAAAATCCCCCTGTAGGGAGACAGGCCCAACTTAAACCTCGAGGGAGGGGGCGCCAAGAGGCTCAGGCGGCGCAGTGGATCTGGACAAGTGTCCAGCTTCGCGGGGCCAGATCTTTGTCCGGATCCCTTGCGCCTGTGGCCTCTGGGGAAGGGAGCCTAGAACTCCCAGGCGCGGTGGGCATGGATGCAAATCTTGCCCTCCACGGAGGTCAGCCACGCGCAGGGGGGGGGGGGTATGGGGGGGGGGGAGGCTTCTGAGAAGCACCCTTGCTTCTTAGAAGGCGATGTGGCCGGCGCCTTGCAAGAAGTGTCTCCTTCCAAGAAGCTTTCTCTGTCGATGGTGGGGCCGGCGCCTTCTAAGGAGCAGTTTCCTTCTGGGAAGCTTTCCCCCCCTCCCCCCACCCCCTTGCGCGCGCCGCCAAGGAGGATCGAGCTCTCGAGACTGGGCTCTCGAGACTGGGCTCTCGAGACTGAGCTCTCGAGACCTTCTACGCCCGTGTTGAGACGCACCACGTGCCGTGTTCAAAACGTCCGTGTCAACACGTTGCGTGTTGGCTCGGCACGTCACGTGCCGCGTCCTGGCGAGCGTCTCGCGCCAAACGCACGCTTCCCATCTCAAATGTTGCGCTCCGTGCCACCACGCCGCGGGCTGCGTGTTGTGTCTTGGGGCAGCCGAGCTCGAGGCCCGTCCTCGAAGCTCGAGCCTCGAGGCCGATCTCGAGGCCAGGCCGCCGGCCCTCCAGGCGCGCGGGCCAGGCCGCGGCGGCGGGGGCCGCGCGCGGGCGCGCCCGCAGGCGCGCGGGGCGCGCGGCCCGTGCCGCCAGCGGCGCGCCGGCATGCGCGCGCGGGGCCGCTGCGCGCAGCGGAGCGCCCGCGCTCCCTTTGCCGCCTCCTCCCCCTCCCTCCTCCTCCTCCTCCTCCTCCTCCTCCTCCTCCTCCTCCTGCTCCTGCTCCTGCTCCTCCTCCTCCTCCTCATCCTCCTCCTGCCCTCCTCCTCCTCCTCCTCCTGCTCCTCCTCCTCCTCCTCCTCCTCCTCCTCCTGCTCCTCCTCCATCTCGTCATGTTCCTCCTCCTGCTCCTCCTCCTCCTGCTCCTCCTCCTCCTGCCCTGCTCCTTCCCTCCCCCGCCTCCTCCTCCTCCTCCTCCTCCTCCTCCTTCTCCTCCTGCGCCTGCTCCTCCTCCTGCCCTCCTCCTCCTCCGCTCCTCCTCATCCTCCTCCTCCTCCTCCTCCTGCTTCCTCCTCCTGCTCCTCCTCCATCTCGTCGTCCTCCTCCTCCTGCTCCTCCTCCTCCGCTCCTGCTCCTTTCCTCCCCCGCCTCCTCCACCTCCTCCTCCTCCTCTCCTGCTCCCTGCTCCTCCTCCTCCCTCCTCCTCCTCCTCCTCCTCCCCCTCCTCCCCTCCTCCTCCCTCCCCCTCCTTTTCCTCTTCCTCCTCCTCCTCCTCCTCCTTCTCATTCTAACATTCTCCTCATTTTCCTCCTCCTCCTCCGTTCCTCCTCCTGTTCTCCTCCTCCTGCTTCCTCTCTTCCTCCCCGGCATGCGCGCGCGGGGGCCGCCTGGCGTCACGCGCGGTCGGGCATCGCCACGCATCTGGGCCTCCCATAATTGTAAGGACTTGCGTCGTTTCCTCACGGCGTCGGTTCGCCTCACGATGGATCGGACCGGGCCAGGGCGAGGATACATCTCGCAGGCGATGTTTCTCACCCACCCCCGACTTTCCGACGAAACATGAAGCATGAAGCCGCTCAGAAAAGGAGGGAAACCCTGGGATACACCAATGGGGCTACCCGGACGCACCCCTATTGAGGATGGACGCCCCCCATCGTAATTATTTTCTAGGGTTGGGCCCTGAATATCTGGTCCGTTTGAAGACCCCACGAAGCCTGGGATAGGGGTCGACATATCCCCTCGTGAAATCCGTTGTCGAGCGTCTGGAACGCTCTCAGCGCGTTCCGGAGCGCACTGAGAAGGCCGCGGCGCCGAGGGATTCTCGATTTCTCCTCGCCCGAATCGATCCTCGTCCTGGCTTCGTCTTCATGGAAAGGCATGGCCAAAGTGGGTCATCTTGCCAGAGCCCCTCCGCGGATGCGGCCAGTGTCCGCACGGTCGTGCAGGCCAAGTAGGCCCATATCCGCAGCTCAGGTGGAAGGCCCTCTGTGGCTCTTCTCCAGAACTGCCCGCTGTGCCCCCAGGAGACGCAGGAAGGGAAAAGAGCTTAGCTTTAAGTCGGGCCTGTCCCTCTACAGGGGGAAAACTCAAAAATAGTAAAAAATTAGTCAGAGGATTTTTTGTTTGAGTATTTTTGGGCATCTCTGGAGTATGATTGGGGCATGTTTTCAAATTTGTTGTCCAAAATCCCCCTGTAGGGGGACAGGCCGGACTTAAGCTTAGCAGCCCTGGTACGCACGTTGTGAAACGCAGCAAGTGCCGTGTTCAGAACGTCCGTGTTCACACGCTGCGTGTTGGCTCAATGTGTTGGCCCACGTTTTGGCGAACGTTTCGCGCTAAACGTACGTTTTCAATATACGTGTTGGGCTCCGTGCCAACACGCTGCGGGTTGCGTGTTGCGCATCGGGGAAGGAACATAAGCACAAACACATACACGTTGGTGTCGATGATAATCTGGGGAGATATGTGAAGTGGAGGGGGGTCAGAGAATCCAGAGAATCCATTGATGATAAGGATGGCGAATTCTTGAATTCGTGCCTATTTATTTGTGTGCCCCTGGGCGCCTTCAGCAATGGGGCGGCGCCAGCGGGACTCTAGCCTCCCAAATGGGTCCGAGCGGGTGGGGTCGGAGGATCGCGCCGCATCACCAACGCATCGGCGATGCGGCATGATGTGGGGCTCCATCTTCTCCACGCCGACGGCGCCGACGCATCGCCGATGCCTCGCCGATGCATCGCCGATCCTCGGCATCGCCCATGCATCGCCGATCCCTTGCATCGTCGATGCATCGGCGATGCACCGGCGATGCGGCGCGAGGCTCCGACCCCACCCGCTCGGACCCCATCCGGGGGGCCTCTGGCCACGCCGCAGCGCGGGCGCGCCGGCGGGCTGCGCGGGCGGAGGCCCTGCGCGTGGGCCGGCCCGTGCCCGTGCCCCGGCCGCGCGCGGCCGCGCGCCCGCAGGCTCGCTGTCGTCCTCGGCGCCCGTGCTGCCGGCGCTCGCGGACGCCGCCTCGCGCGGCGCGCTGGCCCTGCCGACAGACAGGCGGCACCGGGTGGCGGCTGTCGCCGTGGGGGAGGGGGCCCCGAGCGGCGACACGTGAGGGTGAGCCTTCGCCGGAGCGGCTTGTGGTGCGGGCCCCATGGGGCTCCCCGATCGCCGAGCGCGATGCGATATGGTAGCGTCTTCTTGCGCGCCTGGGTTTGGTTCCCGCGCGGCCCCCAAGACAGCTGCGCACAAAAGGTCACCTTGAACCCAGGATCACTCTTGCGTGTAGCCGAGAAACGGGTCCTGAGGGAAACGGGTCTCGAGATTTGTCGCTTTTTTCGGGCTCTCGGGGCACCCCACGGGACCCGGGACTGTCAGAAAAATGTCAGGATGATGAGCTGGTCTTGGGGGAAGGCCCGGAGGTCCAGGACCCGTTTCCCTGAGGACCCGCTTCCCCCATATTATTGTTTGCGGCTGCGGCGCCGACCAGCGATTGACGACCACGGCGACGCCGAGAGTCAGAGGAGGAAAGGGTACACCGATATCGCTAGCCTTCGCCGTTCCTCTCTTTCTTCGGCCTCCCGGGAGGTCCTCGTCGCCATCGCTGGAGTCGCGTCGAGATTCTCGTCAGATCGCACCCCGGGAGAGGTCTGGGGAGTAGCGGAATGGGTATCTCTTGTTTTCCTCAGAAAGCGGCGTCTCTTGATGTTTGTTCATGGAAGCCTTGGGCGGCAACATTGAAGTCAGTTTCTCCTGAATGTGGATTGCATTTGGACCGCATTTGGCCCCCCCCCCTCCTCCTCCTCCTCCCTCCTCCTCCTCCTCCTCCTCCTCCTCCTCCTCGTTCTTATGCTCCTCCCTCTTCGTTCTTCTCGTCTCCGCGAATCTGGGCCAGTCCGCCGGTCCAGATGCGTTCCACATGGGGTCCAAAGCAGGCCCGGCTCCGAGAGCGCAGGGGGCCACGCAGGCTCCCACGGCTGCGCCGACGGGCGGCGCGGGCGGCGACCAGCGACCCAGACGTGCAGGGAGGCGGAGGAGGGGGAGGAGGAGGAGGAGGAGGAGGAGGAGGAAGAGGAGGAGGAGGAGGAGGAGGAGGAGGAGGAGGAGGAGAAGGCGGAGGGGGAGGGGGAGGGGGAGGAGGAGGCGGAGGAGGAGGAGAAGGAGGAGGAGGAGGAGGAGGAAGAGGAGGAGGAGGACAAGGAGGAGGAGGAGGAGGAGGAGGAGCCGCTGTTGTTCTGTTCCATCCGCGGCGCCTTCGGCGTGCGCGGCGGCGCCGTGCCCGCGCTCGTTCCACCTCGCGTCGCGTGTCTTTGGGCTTGTTCTTATGTAGCCAGGAGGCTGCTGAACAGTTGCCCACCAGCTGCCGCGCGGGTTGCCGCAGTTGCAACCGGTGTTCTGTGTGAGCTTGTCGCCGCATGTCGTTCCGAGCGAGCCAGGCTTCGCAACTCGGGGATGCATCGACGGCAGCTCCTCAGCAGCAACCTGGCTACTGAGCAGCAGCTGGAAGATCGCCAGGCCAGCGCCCATGCCCCACGCAGCGACAGCAGTCGCACCTGGGTCTCCCTCTGGGCCGTCGGGGTCCTGCCGCCTCGTCGGGCCGCGCGGCCCAGTCGTGCCGCGGCGGGCGCCTCCTCCCTCCTCCCTCCTCCCTCCTCCCTCCTCCCTCCTCCCTGCGGGCAGGCCGCGGATCGCGTCGGGTCGCGGGCGCCATGGGGGCACCCTGCTAAGCCTCAGCGGCCCCGCCTGCGGTCGGAGCTCTCTGCAGGCTGTTTCTGTGCCGCGGGTGCGCTGCATCAGTGTGCTCTGTTCACAGATCACACACACATATATATCTTATACAAGTCGACACCACCGCACTTCCCATACCGTTTTCCCATATACCCGACACGGCTCCCATTTAGGACGGACGATTTTCAAGTTCAGTCGAAACCAGAATCGTATGTATCGTTTTCCCATATACCCGACACGGCTCCCATTTAGGACGGACGATTTTCAAGTTCAGTCGAAACCAGAATCGTATGGATCTAGTGAAGAAGCTAAATGGGAAGCGCATTGGGATCTGTCTGGGGTCTATACGGGACCTGTATGGGACCTGCGGAAGCACAAGCAATCCTCGTCAACGAATCTGTCGCCCTCTCAGGCGCCACCCGAATCCTTCGAGGAATTCTCAAGGCTCCCTGGCGCGCTCCCCTGCGCTGGCGAGCGCCCGTTAGCGCTTCCGCAATCCACCCAGACGTTCCCACGTGTCTCCAGATTGGCGCCTGCGGCTCAAAGCTTGCGCCTGAAGCTTCCAAAACGTCTACAAGATGCCCAGCGCCGGCCCGCTTCAGTCCATCGAGGGCATGCCCGGTCTTTCTGGGAGCCGCAGAAGCGCAGCCCCGACCAGCCCTGCGCAGACCAGGGGCGGCGCGGGGCGGATCTCGCGCGCGAGGGCGCGGTGAACGTGGCGGAGCTGGGCCCGACCGATTGGCAGGGCCTGGCGTCTGGGTCCAGTGCTTGCCGCAGCCCGCGGCGTAGTCGGCCCCCGCCATGGGCGCCTTCTTCGGCGCCCGCCGAGGCGGTTCGGCCCCTCGGCGCCGCCGCTGGCGCGCCCCTTTCCAGCGCCCGCTGGCGCGCGTGGTAAATTAGGGCGCGTCGTGTTCATTTGATTGTGCGCCACTCCTCTCGCCTCCGACATACGCATCGGGCGCCCTCTCGCTTGGGCTGATGCGCCCACCCCTCCTGTCCCTTGTTTGTAATCCTTCTTTTCTTAAGCAAAAAATAGCACGTCGCCTTCGGCACCGCCTGATCCCAGGGCTTTGCCCTCTCTTGGCCTTGACGTGAGGCCCTTCCTTCTGCCTTCCCTCCTCTGTCAATTAAAGCTGTGCGCGGCCCGCTTAGCTTCGACTGGAAGAGGCTCGCTCTCGACCCGCGGATCAAAACAAATGTTTTCCTTTTTTTTTGATCCCCCAGTCCAGGCCGTCGACCCCCTCGACGTCGAACGCCAGTGTTTTGTTTTACCCCTCGCCCCAACATGGCAGTGTTGATGGACGCGCGCAGCGCGGCCCGCGGGGTCATCAAACAGTTCTTGCCAGCATCGGCGTCAACGGTGAAATTTTGGGCCCCGGGGGCGTCGCCATGTCGTGGGACACAAACTGCGTTTGATTCCGAGGAGGATGTGGGAAAGTCGAGGCCGAAGCTTTCCACAGTTTTCGGCCTCCGGGGCCGCCGACAGATCGGCCCAGGGCGAAAAACGACCCGTCCGACCCCAAAGAAGGTCACGTCCCCAGACGTCCGACGCCAGGATTTGTTTGCTCGACTCCGCGGCCCCAGGGGGTCCCTGGCCCTTTCCCCTGGGCCGGTTTCAATCTATTCCGCGCCGCATCAATGTGCGTTGCTTGTCCCAGGGCTCGTCTGCAGGGGCCGCAACCGCGGATGTGCAACCGCCCGGAGTGAAAACAACATATCGTCATTCGGGGAGCCCGTAGTTGGGGGGCGATGGTTGGGGTGTGGCTGAGGATTGCCGAAAAGGAGCCCCTCAGGGCACTTACAGGGGCTCTAGGGCCCCAAAGGTTGCCTCTCTCAGGCCTGAAAAAGGCATCTGCCTTCCCCAGCGTCCCTCCATTGATACGCGCCCAACATCAGGGATCGGGGACAACGGACGTCGAAAACCCACGACGTCGCGACGATGGCCAGCAAAGGCCACGACGGCGCCGAAGACCACGACGGCGACAGCACATCGACGACCACCATTCAGGAGGAAAACGCAGACACAATTGAACGCCGAGAAGAAGTAGAGGGGAAACGAAATTCCATATTATTTGCGTGTCCCTGGTCCCGGTCAGCCACGGCGGCGACCCAGCGACGACCTAGCGGTGCCCTGAGCTACTGCTCTTCGTCGTCGGCGGTCGTCGGCTGTCGTTTTCATGGGCGCACGGTCCTGCAGGCAAGGAAGGGATCGAGGATCGGGGGCCCAGATCTCCAACGTCGCGTTTCGGCTGCGGCGCGGGCGTTTGAGGGTCGGCTTCTGGGGCGAGCTGTCTGCAAAACGAGATTCTCGCCCTGGCGCCGCGCGCGCTCGCCCGAGTCACTGCCAAACGTCACAAGAATGTAGGGCGAGTCGTTGTTCTCTCTTCTTCGAACTGGGCTCGCCTGTCCGCTGCGGGCACTCGAAGAATGACAAAACGGGGCAGTTACGCGGACGGAGGGTATATCGTTTCCAAAGTGGTGTTCTGGCTTCCGAGCGCCGCGCACGCTCGCGCTCATCACTTGCAACACGTACGCGCGTACAGGTTGGGTGGCTTTTTTAGCCGGTCTCCCGCCCTGGCACCAGGCACACTCGTTTGATTCTTCACACAGCTGCAGTGACACGACAGGAGGATGGATCGTTGTTTTCCTGGGACTGTCGCTGCGGTGCCGCGCGCATCCGCGATTCATGTCCCGACCGCTAACACGGACGGAGGGCGGACGCACATGAGCATCTCGTTTGATATTCGACGTGCGTGTGCCCCAGCATGGTGTTCCAGCTGCGCGGATGGAAGGCGGCTCATCTTCAAAATGGGGCTCTCCCTGTCAATTGGGTGGAGCTGGATCGGCAGACCTTTTTGTTGAGCTGTGGGACGGCTGCACGGTTGCAGGGCGGTGCCTTTTGCGCAGCGGGGCTGTCATCGGGCCCTGCCTGGAACTGTATGGCGCGTGTGATGGGCTCGTTGTTCACCACCACCGCCATAAGTTGGAGGGGGAGGGGGTCCTCCTCCTCCTCCTCCTCCACCTCCTCCTCCTCCTCCTCCTCCTTTCTCCTCCTCCTTTCTCCTCCTTCTCTCCGTCCTCCTCCTCCTCCTCCTCCTCCTCCTCCTCCTCCTCCTCCTCCTCCTTCCCCCCCTCCAACTTATGGCGGTGGTGGTGGAAAACAGGCCCATCAGTGTGGCCCCACCTGGTCGCACGCCTCGCGCCTGCAGGGGTGGCGCGCACGCGCTCTCCGAGCGGAGCTCCCGCACGATTTGTCCGGACCCTATGGGGCGCTCGTCTTCCCGGGGGGGGGGGGGGGGGGGGGGCTTCCTGGTCCTCTTCCGCATCCTCCGATGCGCAAGTCGGGCACGACGTTCTGCAGGAGGAGCACTCAAGAACAGTCCCCAAAAATTAGTCTGGGGACGGTTTTTCGACCATGTTCGACTATGTTCGTCATGTTTTATTTTTCTTTCAGAATCCGCCTGTAGGAGGACATGCCCGACTTAATCCTAAGCCCCTCTCCCGCCGACTCCTCCCCCCGTCGTCCTCCTCTTTCCAATCCTTGTGGCTGAAGCCCTTGGCCCAGGCCAAGGCATCCCGCGGAACGAAGGAACGTAGACCCCCCCCGAAGTTGCGTGCATAAGATGGCCAAGTCCGGCTATGGAACGGAAGGCGGCATGGACGCACGGGCGTCCGCAAGCGTCTTCACACCCGGCAAGCGACGGCGCATCAATTTGGTTGCGATATGTCTCAACATTTTCTTGCCGTGGTTCCTGTTCTCTACGCTTTATGCGGCGATGTCTTTCTCCATCCACTACCAGCGCCCGGCCATAGCATGGCTCCTGGTCTTCCTCGGCTTCTGCACAGTAATTCTGTCAGGCCTGCTGGCGTACCAGACGAAGAAGAAGGAACGCGACCCGATGTGGTACACGTTCGCCACTCTGGCTTTCGGCTTGGCCGTCGTGCTCGCAGTCATTCTTGGAGACATGAATTTCTGGTACAACATGCAGCCGTTCTACGACATCGAGAACCTGAACACGTACCCCTCGGTCAACCCCGCGCGGGAGAAGGGGCAGCAGCTCATGGACGCGGGACGGGTCTACTTTGCGGACGGCGCAATGCTCGACATGAGGAAGGCCATGGGGTTCAAGAACTTGGACCTGTTCTGCGTGGCCCCCATCGTGCACGGCGAGGACCAGCTCGCCTCATACGACTTCTGGGCCGTGGGCATCAACTGCTGCAGCGGGGTCTCCTCCGACTTCCGCTGCGGGGAGTTCAACAACCCGCACGCGCGATCCGGCCTGCGCCTCATGCGTGACGACCAGAGGCCCTTCTTCCGGCTGGCGGTCCAGCAGGCCGAGGCGGCCTACAACATCAAGGCGACTCACCCGCTCTTCTTCTACTGGATGCAGGACCCCGTTGCCGAGATGAACGCCTACCGAGACGACGGATTTTGAGGGAGGAAGCCCACCTCGACCACCATAATCGGCGTTTGCGGTCCTGTGTGTTTACTCAAGTTCCCTGTCCTGTCCGATCTGTCCTCCAGGTCCGTTTGCCATATTGCTTCTCATGTAGGGGTGCTTTTTCCCCACCCGGCCAACCCCACCGTGCATACCGCGGCCGCCAGACCCCGAGTTGTCCTGATGATCCCCGAGAGACCCAGATATCCCGCCTCGCGCCAGGCCAACCCCACCTTGCACACCGTGGCCGCCAGACCCCAAGTTGTCCCGATGATCCCCGAGAGTCCCGGCTGTTCCGCCTCGCGCCCTCGACGAACACGACAGAACACAACATTAGAAAGAGCGTGTTCTACCGCTGCTGGCGGAAAACCGGGGGGGGTCACTACCGGTTCGAACCCCTCCCCCCCCCCCCCCCCCCCTCCGGAAACAGGGGGGGTCACTACCGGTTCGAACCCCTCCCCCCCCCCCCCCAGCTATCATGAAAAGGGGGGGGGGGTCACTACCGGTTCGACCCCCCCCCCCCCCTCGAAAACCGAGTGGGGGTGCGGACAGTGGTGGGGACGGTGTTGGTGGGGACAGTGGTGAGGGGACAGCGGGACAGTGGTGGGGACAGTGGGGGGACAGTGGGACAGCGGTGGGGAGGGTAGTAGTGGGGACAGTGGTGGGGACAATGGCGGGAACAGGGGGGACAGTGGACAGTGGTGGGAACGGTGGTGGTGGGGACAGTGGTGTGGGGACAGTGGGAAGAGGTGGAAACACTGGGACAGTGGAGGGTACAATGGTGGTGGGGACACTGGTAAAGGCGTCGGCGAGGACGGCGGTGGGACAATGGGACAGAGGTACAGTGGGGACAGTGGTGGGGACAGTGGGGACAGTGGTGGGAACAGTGGGACAGCTCAGTGGGACAGCGGAGGAGTCAGTGGGACAGTGGGGACAGTGGGGATAGTCGGGCAGTGGTTGGGGCCGTGGAGACAGTGGGGAGAGTGGAACCGTGGTGGGAACAGTTCTGGGGACAGCGGGGACAGTGCGACAGTGGTGGGGCCACTGGTGGGGACAGTAGGGGCGGTGGTGGAACCAGTGGGGACAGCGGTGGTGAGGACAGTGGTGCTGGGAACACCAGTGGGGGATGTGATGCGGACGGTGGTGGGGACCGGGAGTCGTTTGCTGGCGGTGAGTAGGGGGGGGGGGGGGGGGGGGGGGGGGGGGGGAGGGGGGGGGGGGGGGGGGGGTCGAACCGGTAGTGACCCCCCCCGGTTTTCCGGATCCGGAGAGGGGGGGGGGGGGGGGGGGGGGGAGGGGGTCGAACCGGTAGTGACCCCCCCCCGGTTTTCGAGGGGGAGGGGGGGGGGGGGAGGGGGGTTAGGGGGGGGGAGGGGGGGGGGGTTTGCCGGGAGGGGGGGGGGGGGGGGGGGAGGGGTTCCAGCAGGGGGGGGGGGGGATTTTCGGAGGGGGGGGGGGGGGAACCCCGGGTTCCGGAGGAAAAGGTTGGCAATTTTCCACAGTAAAGCGGCGGTGGATCACGCTCTCTCCAACATTAAAGAACAAACTTTAACATAATGGAACAGAGCATGACAGAACATCACGGAGCATAACATATCAATCGCATGACACAGTAAAGCATAACACAGCATCGCAGACCATACCAGAGCAGAACATGACAGAAGAGACACCGACATAGCACAACATAGCACAACATAGCAGAACAGAGAAGAGCATAGCATTACACACCTACTTAAAGCATTACATACCATGACACCGCATTACAGACCACAGCATAACACGACAGCAGAGCATACCGACGACGAGCACGGCCGAACACAACATGACACATCGGGCATGACAGACCGGACCACGAGCATGACAGACCATGTCATAATATTATATAGCAACAGCATGGCAACATCTATCGTAGTATAGCATCACATAACATACCATAACATGGCATGACCAAACATAAAAAGGCATGACACAACATACTATAACATAGTCGAGCATAACACCCCATGGCAATACAGACAATAGCATGACACAGCATCACATAACATGCCATGACTCGAGAGCAACGCAGAGCAACGACGAGCACGGCAGAGCACACCATGACACAACATAACATGGCATGACAGAACACGAACATGCCATATCATGACATAACAGAGCATAGCAATCTCATCACAACGTATATCATACCATAACATCACACAACATACCAGAGCAATACATGACAGAACAGACGACGGCATAACACAGTATAACATAAAAGAGCAGAGCATAACGTCACACACCTTGACAAACCAAAACAGATCATGACACGGCATCCCATAACATCGTATACTACGACAGCAGGGCATAGCGACACATGCTAGCAACGCATATAATAATTTACACGATGCAGAGCCGAACCGTCAACAAACATATCATCGCAGACCATACCAGAGCAGAACATGACAGAACAGAAGAAAGAACACAACACACCAGAACAGAACTGGGCATACAATAACGCACCCTCACATAACAGATCATATCACAACACAGCGTCACATAACATGCCATACAACGATAGCAAAGCATAGCTACACATACTAGCAGAGCATATCATAGTGTATTATACAGTCCAGCCGTCATCAAACAGAACATCACAGACCGTACCAGAGCAGAACATGACATAACAGAAGACGGTATACCAAAACATATCCGAACAGCCAGACCAAGCATAACACAACACAGCATGGCAGACCATGTCACATCATACCATGGCATCATCTTCAGAATATATCATAAACGACAGCAAGTCAAAGCGAACCATACTTGCAGAGCAGATCTTACTACACTATACTGAGCCGAGCTGCCAACCACATCACGGAACGTAACATCTCATAACACATTTTGGCATCACATGTTTTGCCATTACATTGTTGCAGGAAGTAGGTCATAGTGTACCATATCCAAGCATATGGTGACAGAGATGAGCATAATATAATTTACTCAATCAGAAGAGGAACCTATAAGTGAACATGAGCATCATAACAGCCGGCGCATCTAGCGTCACAGGCGTCACGACGTCACGCCGGCACGTAGAGAACATAACAGGACACAATAGAGCATACCATGAGCGAGCGTGACTGCATGGAACACGGTTGACCGTTCCTGAATCCAGAAATGTCAGTTGTCGACCAATTGGGCAACCGCGCGCCGTCGGAAACAAACGCTTAAGGTTTCAGTGGGGATCGCCTGAAGCAAAATTATGTTTGTTCGAGGGTGGTTCTTCCGCTATCCAGGGTTCAAGTACTACTTGCTCGGGATCTTCACGCATTTCGCTTTTAACTTGTTCTGCGTCGTCATCGCGGTGGTCGGCTTCTCCAAGATCGGCCGGCATTGAGGGCCGTGGGGCGGGTCCAGGGGAGTCGGATTGGCTCACCGATCGCGTTCCACTACTCGCAAAGTGGTTCTTCGCCATCGTCCGAAGGACACATGTCTCCCACGTAATGGATCTTAAACCCCCCGCGGCGGATGCAGGCCGTTTGCGAGTAATTATTCTGCAAGTATCGGGACGATCGAATTTTTTTATGGAAAGAGTGGGTACGGTGCCCAACAGCGATTTCTGTTCATTATGAACAGGACTCGTTGTCCGCGCCGCCGCGGGTGTTGTTCTTTGAAGACAGAGCCGCCTGCCCAACAGCGGCCGCTGCTGGTTTTGGGCAACATTTGTTGTTTGGCATTGTACCCATTCTTCCGTACCCACCTCGGGCGTCCAAAGAGTAGTGAAACGCGCTTGTGTATTGGCGCCCCTTCTCCTCCTCTCCTCTGATGAGCTTGTTGTCCACCACCACCACCACCATAAGTTGGAGGGGGGAAGGAGGAGGGCGAGGAGGAGGAGGAGGACGAAGAGGAGGAGGAGGAGGAGGAGGACCCCCCTCTCCAACTCATGGTGGTGGTGGTGGAAAACACGCTAATCATCCTCCCCTCTGGGCCGGAGCAGTGGGTCTGGTGCTGAGGGGTCGGCGGCGAGAGGTGCCGCACCTCCAGCAGCGATTGTTCTGTGGCGTGCCGTCGTGCGCAACGATCTCTTATGATGGGCTGGTGTTCCACCACCACCACCACCATAAGTTGGAGGTAGAGGGGATCCTCTTCCTCCTCCTCCTCCTCCTCTTCGTCGTCCTCCTCGTCCTCCTCCTCCTCCCTGCTTGCCTCCAGGGTGCCCTGGATCTCTCGAGCTTCGATGGTTTTGCGGTGGCGTGACGTTCCCGCACCAAACATCAGTGGACGGCCTGGGGTATCAGGTTGGTCTCTCGTAGAAGCCTTCTTGTAGACCGGCCTCCACTGTGTGGGGCGGGCGACATCTGTCGCCGCCGAAGAGAAAAGCTACGCCGCTGCATCCACGCGCAAGCTGCTGCATCCGGCGCGCAAGCTGCTACATCTGGACACCAGCTACTGCGAGCACTGCCGAACCCCTCCCCGCGGACACATCCTGCGTCAGACCCGGTTCTCTGGCTTGGGCCCTCCCTCTCCTTCTCTTCGCCCTCCGCCTCCTCCTACTTCCTCTCCTCCTCCTCCTTCCCTCCCATCCTCTTCCTCGTTCTCCTCGTCCTTTTCCTCATCATTCTCCTCTTCCTTCTCCCGATCTCTTTCTCCTCCTCCTCCTCCTCCTCCTCCTTTTGTCTTAGGCTCGGCAATAATACTACAGGAGTTCCATCAAGAAAGCCAGCCGAAATTTCTGGAAAATCTTCAGCAGGGAACTCAACCTCCCCAAAATCTTCAAAACATCTCTAAGTCAAAACTTACGAAGGTCTCAAACGTAACAAAAACTGCAAAACGTCTCTAAGCTAAAACCTGGGAAAATCTCAACCCGAAAAATCTTGAAACCGAAACTCCAGAAATTGGAAGCAGAGAGAGTGCAAAACAGATGCTTGATGCTTGGGCGGCCAGATTGGTTTGTAGGGCGTTGTTTGAAGTTTGTTTAAAGTTTCCTAGGCCGCCGGGATTAGCATTTAGAGCTGTTGGTGTTTTCACTGGGTTTTTTTTCTGGATTTCGCCAGGCGGTCAGAAATATTTTGAGAGGTTGATTGAGTCTTATTTTGGTTTTCCAGACTTCAGAAGAACGGACAAAAAAGGTTGTTTTATGAGTTGACAGGCCTTCAGAGTTGTCTTACAATATGTTGTTTTTAGAGCGTTTAGCAATTTAGCTTTTCCTTCGCAGTTTTCCAAGAGTTGTCCTATAGTTATGTGTTTTAGAATGCCAGCTCCAAGTCTTGTTTTAATTTCCGCAGGTTTCGGCTTAGAGTTGTGTTGACGTGTTTTGTTCATAGTTTGAGTTGTTTTGTTGGCTTTTGTTTAACGGTTTTTGAACGTTGTTCTAGAGTTTTAGATGTGCGCAGGTTTTGGCTTAGAGATGTTTGGAAGTGCTTCTAGAGTTCGAGATGTTCGCAGGTGTTGGCCTAGAGATTTTACGAAGTTGCTTTAGAATTGGAGTTCCTTCGCGCGATATGGCGGTGGACCGCCTGTAGTCGCTACTGCCGACCCTGACTCTCGTCTCCTTCTCCTCCTCCTCCTCCTCTTCCTCCTCCTCCTCCTCTCTCCCCCTCTTTCTCCTTCGCTCCTTCCTCATCCTTCTCCTCCTCCTTCTCCTCCCATTCCCTCCTCTTTCTCCTCCTCCCATTCCCTCCTCCTCGTCCTTTTTGACGCTGCGCGGACTTAATGCAGCAGCATGGGGCCTGAGGCCCTCCTCATCCTCCTCCTCTTTTTCGTCCTTCTCCCCCTCCTCCTCCTCCTCCTTCATTCTTTTTCCTTGTATATAAATCTTTCCTGTCGCACCCCTAGGCCTGTCGAAAGGGCGGGCCAGGCATTTCGCCTGAGACTTCCTCACCACCCATGATCCTGAAACTTAGAGTTGACAACCGCTTCACATATGGAGGGCGGGTGGTTTTCAAAAGACGGTTCTCGCTTTAGCGTTGCGCGCATTTGTTTTACAAAGTTGAAAGAGCTTCAAGGGTTGAGAGCAGGTCGCTTTCGAAATGTGGCTCTCGCTTTAGCGCCTCGCGCATTCGTTTTCAACATTGCAAGCGTTTCACGGATTGAGGGCGGCTCCTTTTCCACATGTGGCGCATATTCTGTTTAAGGCATTGCAAGAGTTTCGCGGGTTGAAGGCGGCTCCTTTTCAAATTGTGGCTCTCGCCGAACACCGCGCACACTCGTTTCAATGAATTTCGATAGTTTCATCGTTTCTCATGGTTCACGTATCAGAAATTGCGTTTGGGAGCGGTTCAGGTCTGTCAGGGCGCAAGAGTTACGCTTTTTACCCTACCTAGGCTCTGCCTAGAAGGGTTCTTACTCTCTTTCTTAAAGGGGCCGGGCAGTGGAACGCGCCCCAGGCGGTTCCCTCGGCATCCGCCCCGCGGTTCCCCCAGTTACGTCCCCTTAGTTCAGCGTTGCTTATCTCATCTTAGCTTAGCCTAGCTAAACTTCGCTTAGCTTAGCTGAGCCTAGCCTAGCCTAGTTTAGCTTCGCTTCGCTTCGCCTAGCCTAGCCTAGCTGAGCTTAGCTCAGCTTAGCTTGGCTTAGCGCAGCGCAGCATTAGCCTAACATAGCATAGCATAGCATATCATAGCATAGCATACCATAGCATAGCATAGCGCAGCATAACATAGCGCAGCATACCATAGCATAGCATAGAGAAGCATATCATAGCGCAGCCTAGCATTTCGTGTCATTTCATAGCATAGCATAGCATAGCTTAGCATAGCGCAGTGCAGCATAGCATAGCATATCATACCATAGCATATCATAGCATAGCGCAGCATAACATAGCATAGCACCGCATAGTATAGCGCAGCATAGCATAGCATAGCGTAGCTGTAGGTGTAGATGTGGATGTAGGTCTAGATGTAGATGTAGGGATTAAGCTGTTCGATTACTACTACTACTACTACTACTACTACTACTACTACTACTACTACTACTACTACTACTACTACTACTACTACTATTACTACTCCTACTACTGCTACGACTACGACGACGACTACTACTACTTCTACTACTACTACTACTACTACCACTACTACTACTGATACTATTACTACTACTACAACTACTACTACTACTACTACTACTACTACTACTACTACTACTACTACTACTACTATTACTACTACTACTACTACCTACTACAGCTGCTACAACTACTACTACGACTGCGACTACTACGACTACCACTACTACTACTACTACTACTACTGCTACTACTACTGCTACTACTACTACACCTACTAGTACTACTACTACTACTACTACGACTACGACTACGACGACGACGACGACTACTACTAATACTACTGCTACTAACTACTACTACTACTACAGCTGACTACTACGACTACTACTACTACTTTACTACTACCTACCGACGACTACTACTACTACTACTACTACTACTACTACTACTTACTACTTACTACTACTACTACTATTACTACTACTACTACTACTACTACTACTACTACTACTACTACTACTACTACTACTACTACTACTACTACACTACTACTGCTACTACTACTACTACTACAGCTGCTACAACTACTACTACGACTGCGACTACGACTACTACTACTACTACTACTACCACCACTACTACTACTACTACTGCTACTACTACCGCTACTGCTACAACTGCGACGACCAGGAGAAGGAGGAGGACGGCGTTTACCGTTACTACTAATATTGCTCTCGAGGCTCCAACTCCTAGGTAGGGTCGCTCTGGGATAATCATTGTGTTGTAGTTCCAGGAATGGTGTTCTGGCAGAGGTTAACTCGTGACGTTGACGTCTTGAGAAAGGTGTTCTGGCACGCTTCAGGATTTGCACGCGGTCGTCCCTTCACGGGACAATTCCGCCAGTGGAAACAAGCATTGGTCTGGGATCTACGAGGAGGGATTTTGGAGGGAGGATGTAGTCCAGCATTGGTGATGAGTCTCGGATTTGCGTTGGCCCTCCTCCGCCTCCTTCCGCCCCCCTTTCTGCCTCGGCGGGGCGCTGCGCTCGTGAGGCTCGCGCAGGACGAGGGGACCCCGCGACAACTGGAGAGGGGCGACGTTCGAGGCCGCGGAAATCGAAGGCGCGCCTTTCGTGGATCGGCGCTGGGCCCCCCCCTGGCGGCGCCCCCAGCGCCGCTCCTGGCCCGCTCCGCGCGCCAGGGAGGGGGGTCCAGCGTCGCTCCAAGAAGCCCTGCGCGGCGCTGCGAGTGGTTTCATGTCTGTGCCGTCGGTTCTCGTTCTATCCGTGCATCCATCCAGGGATCCCAACTCGGGTCCGAGCAGATGGGGCCGGGGCATCGCGTCGCATCGCCGATGCATCGGCGATGCGGCACGATGTGGAGCCCGATCTTCTCCACGCCAGCGTCGCCGATGCATTGCCGACACGTTCCCGATGCAGCGCCGATGCATCGGCGATGCTTCGGCGATGCGGCGCGGTCCTCCGACCCCACCTACTCGGAGCCCATGTGGGAGGCCTCCATCTAAGCGTGCGTCCAAGCCTCATCCGTCTGCGCCCGCACACCGCCGATCGGGGACTTTCTGGTTGAGGGCGAGAGCCCTCGCGGTGCTCCTCCCGGCGGCATCCAGCCTGGATCGAGGTTTCTCTTCCTGTCGCTCCTCCTCCCCGATCGGTCTCTTCCCAGCAACCGTCCTCCTCGTCGTCGTCCTCTTCCTCCTTCTCGTCATCCTCCCCTTTCTCCACCTTCTCCTCCTTCTCCCCCTTTTCCTTTCACCCCCCTCACCCTCCCCCTCCTCCGCCTCCTCCTCCTCCATGCTCCTTCTCCTCCCACCTCCTGCCCCGCCTCCCCATCTTCTTACCCACCTCCCCCTCCTGTTACGTCGGACAAACGTTGGCTTGCATGGGTTGTCGCGTTTTGATGGCCACGACGATCCGAGACAAAACAACTGATCTGAACGCGGCGCTGGACCTTCTTCAGAGTTGTAAAGCCAGCGCGTGCTCGATAGGAAGTAGAAAGGCGAATACGTCTGGAACCTCTCTCCCTCTCCACCTCGTCCTTCCTCCTCCCTTCCTCCTGTTCTTCCTCCCCCCATCTCCCAGTCCCCCTTCATCCGTCCCCTCCTTCGCACTGTCCCTCTCCTTCTTCCGCCTGCCCTCCCGCCCTCCCCCAGGCATTCTCCGCCCCCCGTCCTGCATCGTGTGGTGTGTGTGTATGTTATTGATTTTCACGGGGGAGGGCCCTTCGGATTTGGTGGGGGGGACCTCACTCCCCAATCCCACTCTTAAAACCTCCCCCCCCTTCCCCTTTGTTCATCCTCCTCGTGTCCCTCCTCCTGCTCATTCCACTCCCTCCTGCTCATTCCACTCCCCTTCTCCCTCTCCTCCCTCCTCCCCTCCCATCTCGTCGTTTTCCTTCTTCTCCGCCTCCACCTTGCCTCCCTCCTCCTCTGTCTCCCTCCCCCTTTCCCCTCTTCCTCCGTCTCCTCCTCCCCCTGCTCCTCTGGGTCCTCCTGCTCCTCCTCTTGCTGCGCCTCCTCCTCCTCCTCCTGCTGCTGATGCTCCTCCTCCTCATTCTTCTCCTCCTCTCCTTCCGGAGACCTGCGAAAAACCAAGAGGGCGTTTGCATCGTTGCCGCCGTCAGCGTCGTCGCCGCCGCAATCTCCGCCGTCTTCCGAGCAGAATCCGCTCAAATCCACCCCGTGCCCCTCCTGGGGCCCATCTTGCCTCTGTTTCCTGTGCCGCGCCTGGTCGTAGGGACGGGAACCTGGGACGGGAACCTTGAAATCATCCGAAATCCTGGCGTCGCATTTTTGTTCGAGGCTGGCGTTGTCGCATACGTAATGTTGAGCCCCGGGTCTCTCACATATCGATCCAGCTCGAAGAGTGCCGCAGGAATGGCTCTGCTCGTGATTTTCGGGTGATGCTGCAGTGTTGTTTTCGAGTCGTCGGGTCTCTGGGAACCTTCACAGTCGTCCAGGAACCCCCAACCCGAGGGTTTTCTTCAGAACGACGGAAGGAAACGGGGTCCATTGCGTCGACATTCGCGGGTGAGCCTGTGCGTAAGGCCGCGCATACGTGCCCTTTTCTCCACGCGGTGTGCCACGGTGGAGGCCCGCGTAAGCCGCGGCGTAAGGTCGCTCGCTATGTCTTCTCGCAGTCAAGGCCCGTTTCTGTTCGGCGCTTTTCGGACCCCGGTCGGCGTCCCAGCTCGGTCGGACGCCGAATGGGGTCGTGCAGGAGTCGTGCCCGCCAGGCCGCCGCATGGGCCCGACCTGGGGTGCTGTCGCCGGTCGAAAGGGCTCAGACGCCGAATGGGCACCGAAGGAGACCCTACTTGGATTGCCGCGGGGTTGCTAAGGGGATATCTGGCCTAACCGGATGCGATGGTGGATGCGATGGTAACTGATATCAAGTTTTATAGCGATGGATGGTCGTGCGATGCTAGCGATTGAGGTTTTAAGTTGATGCGATGGTAATTGATATCTGGCCCAACCTACAGCTTGTGAGTGCGCTGCGCGTGCTCTGAATTGCCTTCCGGGGGGCAAATCTCTGGGCTAAGTGGGTGTAGCCCGCTTGCCGGAATTACACGCCAGTCGTTAACAGTAGGTTTGGATTCCCAGATCCCAATCTACTTCAAGCGCCTTCCTACTTCAAGAATCGACATGCTTGTGCTGTGTGTTGTTATTCTCTGGGAGGATCTGAGCCCAATCTACTACATCCGCCTCCCTACCTCATGTTTCTACCCAATTCTTCCGACCGACGTGCAGTGGCTAGGTGAGGGCAGGTACAGCCCACCTCCACGTCCACGTATAATCCCTGTGCCCCCTCAGCAGCCACCACGTTCCTCCCAGGTGGTGATTCCTGTCGCCCCACTCCAGGTGCTCGGGACGTAAGTCGTGCTAATTACCGTGGCCCAGGGGCCCGAAACGGGGCGAGACCGCCCGGTGTGACCACATCGCAGCGCCCTCGCCTCAGGGGTCGCCGTCGCCGCCGTCCTCGCCGCCCTCGCCAGTTCGCCCCTCGGGACCGGGCACAGCTAGGACCCCGGGTCAGGTGAGCTGGCTCGCGATTGGGCCCCGAAGCCCAGGCAGTGAGCCAGAATCACTAAACCAGGTCTGCCGTACGGGGCCTGCTTCGGGCGGCGGTAGTTCCTCTTAGTGGGATGGGGCGGGGGAGTGTCTCCGGCACGCATCCCGAAAGCAGGTCCCTCTAAACCCAGTCCTGCCAACGTCCGGCAGGAGCTCCCGCAGCCTGGCGAGCCTGAGCTCCGCAGCCGCGCCGCGGCCGCTCAAGTCGCTGCTCCCCGCCGACCACCCCGCCGAGGCGTGGGCGAGGGCGAGCGCGAAGACGAGGGGAGAACGGCGACGACGATGGCGACGACGACGGCGGCGACGACGGCGGCGGCGACGAGGACGGCGACGACGACGACAATGACGACGGCGACGACGGCGACGGCGACGACGGCGACGACGACGAAGACGACCCCGCCAAGGACGACCCCGCCAAGTCCTGGGCGTCGCTTGGCGGCGGCGGCGATGACGACGACGGCGGCGACGACTACGACGACCACGACGACGACGACGACAACGACGACGACGACGACGAGGCCCACGACCACGACCACGACCACGACCACGACCACGACCACGTCGAGGAGGAGCAGGAGGAAGAGGACAACGACGACGAGGAGGAGGAGGAGGAGGTGCAGAAGGAGGAGGAGGAGGAGGAGGAGGACGAGGAGCGCGAGTTGAGACAGCGGTACGTAGTTGCCGAGCGGCTGGACGCAGCTCGGATAATTGGTGCGTTTTGGCCTCAGGAGGGGTCCGGGGACCGATCTTGAGCTACCGCTGTCTCCGCTCAGCCTGCTCAGAGAGACGTTAGAATTCGCCTTCTCCCACCCCAAGTAACGTCAACGATCGTGCGCAGGGGGGCAGTCTGGACACCCCCCCATCTGCTGGTGCTCGCGCGCACGCTGTGGTGATCCTAGCGCACCCCCGTCCCGACGTGCGCCACCCCGCCCAAGCGTTACCACTACCCGGTGCCCGACTCCCCCCCCCCGGGTAACGGCCGTTACCAGCACTGATGGAATCAGAGCGTGAATTACCTACCCCGCTTTCGCTTCCAGGCAAAACCAAGTCATACCACGCACCTCCTCGTCAAGCGGCCTGACCAGTACATGCCGTAGTTTGGCATCGCTTGGGATCTCTTGGAAGCGAGGGTGGTCCAAAGCGAGGTAGGTTTGTTTGCCCCCTAATGTGTTGCGTTTGAATCCCGGGAGGGGTCTTCGGACCGATTCTGAGCTGATGTTGTCTCCGCTCGGCCCGCTCCGAGGGACGACCGCTTCTCGCGGGCTCGGGGAGCGCGTTCGGGCTCCGAGGCCGTGAGAGAGCGACTCGGAGTGAAGAGCAGCCCCGGTGGCGATGCCGACGGCGGCGGCGAAGAGTCACCACCCACCAGACCACCCCAACCCAACCCGAAGGCTCAGATTTACCCTCGATTTCCAGTGGGGGGGGGGTTCGGGAAACATCGAAAAAACACATGTGGAACCCTTACCCCCCCCAACCCGAAATTCGGGTCTTCGGGTTGGGTTGGGGTGGTCTGGTAGGTAGTCAAAGAGGAGTTCCAAGGTTTGGGCGCTTTTTCGGAGGTCCCCGTAGCCTCTTCCAGCCTCGGGATGCCCTCCAGCAGCTGCGCCTCGCCGAGAGCGTTCGGGTAGTGCCTGGATCGAGGAGGAGAACAAACGTCTGGCATGAGTAGTTCCTTGGAGTTCCGTTCGGATTTCTTTCATCGGCGTCGAGAATTGATGTTTCTGCAGTTCTTTCGCAGTCGCGGGTATCGGCGGGATTTTTTTGGGGAGCTGCTTGCGGAGTGTGAGGGGTTGAGGACCCATTTCTGAAGAAGGGACCTCGCCGTACCCATCAATCCAGTTGCCACCCCTCGTTCCTCCGCTTGTCAGTTAGAGGATCCGAATTTTCTTGGCAGGGCGAGGGGAGGGAAGGAGTTGGAGGGGGAGGGAAGGATGCGAGGGTTTGAAGTTTCTTGGCATGGCAGAAGTAAGAGGGGCAGTCGAAGGCCTCCTTCTCACAATCACTATCCTGCTCATCTTTATCTGTCACTCTATCCATCTCTCTCTTTCTTCTCTCGTTACTTCTTTCTCTCTTTCTCTCTCTGTCTCCGTCTTTGCCCTTGTACCTCTCTCTCTCTTTGTCTCCACCTCTCTCTCTATCCCTTTTTTGTTTTCTCTCTCTCTCTCTCCCTCCTCCTCTTCCTCCTCCTCCTCCTCTTCCTCCTGCTCCTCCTGCTCCTCCTCCTCCTCCTCCTCTCCCCCTTTCTACCTTCCTCCCCTCCCCGGAGACGAGCAAATGGCTCCATCTCCGACCCCCTCCCTCCAGCTCCCTCCCCCCGCTCTTCTCCCCCCCTCGCCCTAGCTCGCGTACCCGGCGTAGCCCTGCCCCCTGCCAGCGCTGCGCCCGCGTTTTTCTTTTTTCCAGCGTGCCGCAAACGCCGTCTCCGAAGCGCCGGCGCAGCTCAGCGCGGAGATGCAGGAGGAGGAGAGGAGGAGAAGGAGGAGGAGGAGGAGGAGGAGGAGGAGGATGACGAGGAGGAGGAGGAGCATGAGGAGGAGGAGGATGAAGAGGAGGAGGAGGAGGAGCAGGAGGAGGAGGAGAGGCGGCGCCTCCACACCTGTTGCGGTCGGGAGCACGTCCAGGGCAGCGGGGGGCGAAATGCGGGCCCCTTGTGGCCGGGTGCACAACAAAGTCAAAGCAGGGCGTCGCTGTGCGATTGACCCGGCCTGGCCACGAGAGCGGGCTCCCCGTCGCGCTCCTGCCGAGCGGACGCCGTCGCCTACGCTCGGATATCCCCAGTGCCCCACGCCTCCCGCTCCTGTAGAGTGATTGGCGCGGCGGCCCAAATTGGCGGGTCTTTGCAACGTGCCCTCGGCGCACGGCCGGCTCATCCCCCACCTCCTCCTCTTCTTTGTCCTCGTCCTTGTCGTCCTTGTGCTCCTCCCCCTCCCCCTCCTCGTCCTCCCTCCTCCTCTCCTCCTCCTCCTCCTCCTCACCCTTTCTCCTCCTCCTCCTCAGACTTCCTCCTTCTCCCTTTCAGGACATCGTGGCGTGGAGTGCGATGATGCAGATTGAATATGTACCAATCCTTCGACACATGGCCCGGGCAAGGGCGCCGCAGATCCGCGAGCCTCGTCCTGGCGTATCGGCCGCAGCGCGCACACCACTCCCAGGGTACCGTGCGCCCGAGGCGATGGCCGTGCGCCGTGACTACCCGTGGCTCAATCCTCACCGGCAGGCGGACTGCGGCCTGCCCCTCACACCGCTCGTCGGCGAGGGCCTGGCGACTCGCGCCGCGCTTGCCTCAGCGCTGGCATGCCCAGCCCCCTTCGGCCCTCCTCGAAGGCTTGTGGCTGCGACCCTCCGCGTCCAGCTGCAGGCCGATGCGCGGGGCCTGCGAGCCTCGCGGCGGCGGCGGCTGCATGTCCGGCCACTCGTCCTGAGTGCTGAACACGCGCTCAGCGAGCTCGTCTTGGAAGTTCAAGGCGAAGCGGACCTGGGCGGCCTTCTCCTTGCAGGCTTGCTGGACGCAGACCAGCAACTCGTTGCATCCGCCGGCCTTGCAGCCCTGCTGCACGCAGACCAGCGACTCGTTGCCTCCGCCTGTTGCGCCTTCGCCGGCCCAGGCGTCAGCCCCACGATTGGCCATGGCCACCAGGCGCTTCGCAGCTGACGCGCCCTGCAGCTGCCCGTCCGTGCGGTGGGCCATCACCTTGCCGAACTCGATGCCGTCGGGCCCGAGGCCGATGTCCTCCAGCTTGAACCAGATGCGTCGCCAAACGTCCGCGTTCGTACGGGCAGCGCACGCGCACCATTTGCGGCCTGCGGTGATGCCGTCGAGCACTGACTGGCGATCGACATGCACACGCAGCGGTGGCATCGCGAGGTCCAGGACGACGGCCACGGCATGCAATTCGGCCCTGTCGATGTTGCGCTGCACCAGCAACTGCAAGGGGAGCGGTCCCCAGATGGCGGGGAGGCTGCGTTAGCCTCCTCGGTCAGCGCCACCTGCTGCGCGCCCCATCCCGTTTTGCCCAGCCAGCGCCATCGCCCGTTCAGGGCGCCGTCTGTGGCGACCTCGCCGGCCTCGTCGTCAGCCTCGGCCCCGGTCGATCGGACTACCTCGACTTGCGGCGTGAAGGGCCGCTGCCACACAGGGTGGGCGGTGAGGCCGCGATCCCAGCGCAGCCTGTCGGGGCTCGTCTCCCAGTGGCAGGCATGGCCTGGCGGTGCTCCCGGTAGCCGCCACCTGCACGCCCGCCGAGACGAACCGCTTGCCCGCCCCTGGCGCAGAGCGCACCCCCTGGGCAATGCTCAGGAGGGGAAAAAACACACAAACACAATGAATCGTCGACCCCCCGGAAAATGTGGGAAAATATGGGAATGGGGGGGGGAGGCGAAAACCCAGAAAATATGGGGAATCCGGGGATTCATGTTGATTTGTTTGTGTATCCCAGGGCCCCTTTCGAACGCTCGGATGCCAGCCTGCGGCCTCCATGGCCGCCCGCGCAGCGCCCGGAGCGTGCGCCTGCACCCTGACCTCCCGCCCGCGGACGGCGAGGACCTCGGAGCCCAAGGCCGCGCAGGAGAGCCTCCCTGCCCAGCCCGTGCGTTCCCGGTGAGCTGCACGGCGCTGGCCTCCAGTCGGGCCTGTCCCTCTGCAGGAGGAATCTCCCAAAACACATCGAAAAATCGTCGGGGGACGATTTTTTGATCCTTAAGGGCTTCGCCCCCTGCCGCCGGCCCCCTCTCTCGGAGAATGGGCCATGGAAGAGCTAAGTCATGAGGCTTTGGCGCTGTCGTACAGCAGTATCGGAGCTTCATGCGAGGCCGATTCGCAATCGGCAAAACCAACTGATCACAAGAGGGGTTACCACACAGGGCGATTGGTAAGACGTGTATGGTTTACGAGCTTGGTTACCACACCTTGGGATTAAAGGGCCGAGCGAGTACTCGCAGTTTGGGTTACCACGCCTTGCGATGGATGTGCGTGAGGGGTGGCACCGAATTTCAGAAATGTGGCAAATCCCCTGTGTTTTTGGACCCTGACCCCGCGGATCTGCGTGAGGGGTGGCACCGAATTTCAGAAATGTGGCAAATCCCATGTGTTTTTGGACCCTGACCCCGCGGATCTGCGTGAGGGGTGGCACCGAATTTCAGAAATGTGGCAAATCCCTGTGTTTTTGGACCCTGACCCCGCGGATCTGCGTGAGGGGTGGCACCGAATTTCAGAAATGTGGCAAATCCCTGTGTTTT